TAAACTCTCCAGTCTCTTCAGCAGCCTTATCTAACTTGTGAGGTCCAGTATCTGCAAAATATTAAAATGTCAGCAATCATGCGTATCAATACATGTTACACTTACCCCAAGAGGATATCCTTTTTATCATAGATCCCACGCGATCACTGAACACCTGAGTGCACAATGAAACCTTCATTTTATTAATTTTTGAAGGTATTACGTGGGAGTCCGTTAACTTGGGACACATTCTGGTTTCATCAGATGTGTCGAGATAATAAAATTGCAGAATATGGTCCCACTTTGCCACTTTTGATTTACCATTAAACTTAAAATGAAGATTTTTTTTTAATAAATTATTTCGAATGCCCTTAAAAAGATGTGGAACATCATAAAAGGGAACAATTTCCTCCTCGTTGACTGTGAAACCAAAATAATGGTTTTGTCTATCATTGCGTTCGGTATCTTTCAGTAGCAAATTATTTGCGCCTGATTTGCAGACCCTTGGTCACAGACCGTAGCTACGACTTGGAACCCACATTCTTGGCACTTCTCAATATTTTCCGTTATTAATTTTTTTTAATTTATAGAGTTAGTTGAGCCCGAACTAAATGTGAAGGAGATGGGCTGTTTCCATTGTTTGTGGATGCCCCTCAGCATAAATACATTGGCTGTGTCAGCCAATTTCGGGGCCCTCCCGAACGAGCCAAAGTTCTCGAAGCCATCCACACAACGCTCCTTCTTATTGTACTGTAACCCCGGTTCCAGTGCCATCTCGTCAAACAGAAGTACACAGTACTTATCTAGCTCTTTCATTTTTTTTTTGCCCTTTTTCGTAAACTCCTGAAAATTTGTTCATTCAAACCCGCTTTCAGTGGAAGAGAGTTTAACAAATTTGTCAGGGTTCTACGAGAGGGTAATGAAAATATTTTAGAAAGAATGCGATATCCTTTCCCGCATGTCTTCATCAAAGATAAGGCTAGAATCTTGTCATTCAGCGAATATTTTCGGGCCTTCGCTTTAATATTTTGGTTTCGTATCTGTTGAAGTATAAATTCGTAAGTGATGTTCACATGCTCCAACAGGCCAGTGAATGTGGCATTGTTTGCCAGCTTCTCGGCTTCATGTAGCCTTTTTTGAAAAGATTTTGCACTTCGTCGAACAGCAGATATTTTTTTAGTTGTATCCAACACTTGCTGGTAAAATTTTCTGCACTTTGGAGTTAAGTCCGCCTGGCGCGTTACACCAACTTTAGACAAAATGCCTCTCCTGTGACACACTAAAAAAAGAAGGAATCAAGGATTATCTTAAAAATATACATGCAAAGGGATGTATATTACTCATAAGCATTTTACGATTCCTTTAATTTTTAAATAGAGAGCAAATGTAATATTATGCACTTAACTGAAGAATGAATATGTGAAAATTTTTGATATTGTCATAAAACTTACCATCTGCATCATCTTTTTTTGAAATTTGTTGATTTACAGACCCTTCTGTTGTTAAAATAGATATTTCTTGTGCGCAGATAGGTGTAGAGCATGATGCCTCACTTCGCATGAAATCTGAAAAGAAATACAAGAATAATATAGTTTTTTATTCCCTCTACAAATATAGTCGGGGACTCTTTGAATTGGTAGAACGTGCAGTTTATTATCAATTTGATAACATTAACATAAAAAACAATAATAAAAAAAAACACTACAAAATATAAAATTAATAAAACAGTTACCTAATGCATTTGCCTCTTTTGGAAATATATCTGCTGAATGGGTTAATTCTGTCAAAGCAACTGAATTCTGTTCAACCGTAAATGGGGTGCTTGAAAAATTTTGAACTAAATTTCTTTCAAGCGTCATCGTATCTAGTTATATTTCTATTTATACATGTTCTGTGACAGAGTGCGGCTAAAATATGGCGGCAGGAAGTGATGTGTTATAGGCGGCGGTACCGTCGCGAGCCAGGACTCGCAGCTCGACACATAGGTGGCGCTCTAACAGTCCCCCTCGAGACATGGGTCGTGTTCTTCATCCGTGCACCGCTCACGCCTCTACTCCGCAGAGATGAACCTCGACGATTCAGCGCACCATGAATGCTTCGACCTGAGTAGCCCCTTCGTCAGGAAGTCGGCGACTTGGCTCTCCGTCGCCACGTAGTCTACCTTGATTCTCTGCTCCTTTAGCGCGTCGCGCACAAAGTAGTGGCGAATGTCGATGTGTTTACTTCTACTACGTAGCACGGGGTTCTCTGTCAGCTTCAGAGAGCTCCTATTGTCGCAGAGAACGACCAGATCTGCTGATTCCCCGAAGCCCAGCTCACGAACGAAGCGTTGCCAATGTAGGGCCTCCTTCACGCAGTGGAAGCGTGCTGGGCCCATAACCTGTTAAGTGTAACGTTTCTGTTATTAAATTTAATTTTACGTTCATTTGTCTTCTTTTTTTTTGATAATTTATACATCATGTGACAATAGTGAATGGTTCTTTAATATAATAACGATCACTAGTTAAATTAAAAATTTTTAAAGTTTGGTTTTGCGAAATTTTTCGGGGTGGTCGGCTTTTTTTGCCGGTCAGTGTAAATTACACGATTCGTATGAAACAATGTAAGATATAAATAAGTATGTACAGAATATTGTTGTTGTCGCGGTTGATAAGACACAACCCCAGTGGCTGTGTAGACCAGTGTTGCCAACCTGTACGATAATTATCGTTTTGTACGATAATTGGACTCTACATACCATGTACGATAACGTAAAATGTACGATAATTTTGCAGTATATATACAAACCGCGGTATTTATTAAAAAAGAAATCTTTAATGCAATAAAAATCAAACACAGATTAAAAAAAAATACATCAATGTAAACATAAACCCAAACAATTAAGTAAAAACAAAAAATAAATTTCTAATAAACAAAATAAAATTGTCATTGACAAACCCATCTTAAAAAATATATACAGTGACAAAATGAATGAAGCATTTATCAAAATTTAATTCTAATCGATTGTGCTTACACCAATCAACCAGAGTGTAAATGTCGTTTTGTAATAAATGACAATCAGAAATAGTAGTGATTTTATAATATAGCAAATAGTAGTTTTCTGCAGTTAAGAAGCCTAGGTAATGTTAATAATTACACACAAGTCCATTAATATTCATACTTCGTTGGTAAAATTTCCTACAAATAGAGTATCTTTACTCATTTGTAGTAAAAATACCTCGAATACGTGTGAAATCCCACTTTAAAGTATAAAATAACTCAGAAAAGATAAAATCACTTCATTCATGTAAAAACACTAAAATGAGTAAAATTCCAGTTTTTGTAGGGTAAAATTACACTCATTTTTTTCAGTGTAAGCACTATCAAACCTAACAAAAGTTAACTGTCTTTTGAACTATGAAAATACTAATATTATTGTCTCAATTATTATTAACACAATCATAGAAACTCATTGTAATTGTAATATATTTATGAAATAAAAACATTTTCTTATAAAAACAAAATTAAATTGTCTCTAGCACTACAATAACAGAACAGCTACGATTAATTTTTGTCAAGTTTTGACAACAACGCATCAAATTTTGCTGCAAAAACATCAGTTCACGTGCTGCTAAATTTTCTGCTCACACAGATTTCCTAACATCTTCTTGATGGGATCAACTTCTGCTTGTCTCAGGCGAATGGGGTCTCCCTTTCTTTTTTTCTCAGGTACTTCTTGAACAGCTGACTCCTCAAATTCATCTTCGAATACTGTATTTTTGTCATGTGATCCTGCAACAATAACCATACGTTGTTTCTCTTTTATACACTTTTGGGTGGCTTTACGTACCAGTGGCAAGACCAGTGGCACTATCCAATGAGGACGCAACAATAGGATTCACATTACGTTTTGCTCCTAAAAGAGCATCCGTTTCATCATAAAATTCAAAATTTATTCTTTGAGCTCCAGTCATCTTCGTGTTGTCTTTCTTTTCAGTATATTTTTGTTTCAAGTATTTCCACCTGTCGCGGCATTGGTTGACAGTACATTGGATGCCTTGTTTTGCCAATTGAGCACATATTTTTGCCCACACTTTCTCATTTTTCACTGTAGTTGACTGAAATAACGTTTCATATTTTTGTTTTAGATCAATCAAATGCAAGGTTGCTGAACGGGTCCACTTTTTAAGTGTCTCTGGCATTATTTCTGACGTATTTGAAGACGATAAAGCTATGTTCGAAATATTAAACTCCTGGACCACATTGTCTCTAACAGCAATAAAATGGAATGACTCGTCTACAATAATAAACACTGACATTTTACACTACTCATTGGGAACACTAAATAATTGTACCTGTTTTCCTTTGAAGTAGGAGGTTGCCATCGTCATGTATGGAGTCCCGTCTTCATTGTATGCCACACAGTATGTGTTCAAAGTGTATGGAACCTCCATATCAACTTGTATAAAAGTATCGCACCAAACGCACACGGCACCGCATGTGCGCACGTTGAAAACAAAACTATGTTAGGTTAGAAAACATCATTGCACATGCGGGGGACAAAAAAAATATAGTTGTCCATGTTACAAGAGGAGTCACCACTCTAATGCTTGATTTGTGTCACCACTCATCAACATAACCTTACCCCTCTTACGATGGTGTGCATGCTTGGTCATTCTTCCCGCAGTCAGGAGCGTGGCGATTTGGGTCTTGAGGTAATTACTTTGGTTATTTATGAACGCTTCACAGTAACTCACCGAGGTAATGTTTTATGTTTTCTGAACGGCTGGGGATTACCAAAGTATCCTCGGTAACATTTTCTGAACGCACTCCAGTCGTCTAAAAAAATTTTATTGTATACAAATCGAACGTTTTTAGTATAAGGGACGTTCGGCTTGCTACTTTAGAGCGATGTTGGAGTGGAGCTAGAACGGTTTATGAGTGGCGTCACGTTATTATGGAGTATGCACGCATGATAATGTTTGAAGATAGTTCAGATGAGGAATGCGCAAATTACAGAAAAAGTATAAAACTATGCTGGAGTGCGTTCAGAAACTTACGGCGATGGTAAGGTGATAGTAATTTGAGTAATCTGACGTCACGTTACTGAGGTGAAGAAAATAGTGAACGATTTTTAGTAACTCTTAGATAACGTATAAGTATGACATTAATCTAACCTCTTGTGTTTACAATGTGGCAATATCTAGTGCTGCTGTCAAACATACTGAATTAATGTTATTTACAATTTAAAACACAAAGCAACAAAAATAAAACAATGGAAGTTGCGCTTTCCATTGCAATTGTTGGTGATATGGCATTGAAATATATCATTTTAAGCGACGACGACGAAACGAGCGACGAAGATGAAATTGTAAGTGTTGTTTTATTAACAAAAAAACGTAGAAGAAAACCTTCGAGAATTGAAAACTACGTTGAACGGACAGTACCCAATTTGACAGCCAGAGAATTTCAACAACATTTTAGAATAACCATAGATGCATACGAACACTTAATACAAATGGTTGGCCCTCTGTTAAAAAGAAAAAACTACAAAGGAAGATTTACAATCAACGTTGAAAAGCAGCTGTTGGCAGTAATTTGGTTGCTGGCAACCCCTGATTCATATAGGTCAGTAACAGTGTAGTCGATAAATAGAAATACAACAATATGCATATGCTATACTTTATTTGTAGGTCAGTGGGTGAAAGATTTGATTTGGGAAAATCATCACTGTCAGTATGTTTTATGCGAGTTATAAAAATATTATGTTCTTTAACACAAAGAATCATTACGTGGCCAACTGGTCACAAGTTGACAGAAGTGAAGGAAAAATTTAGACAAATGGCTGGTTTGCCAAACGTTATTGGTGCTATTGATGGTACATATATATGTATAAAGGCACCACACGAAGATCCAGAGTCTTATATTACAAGAAAAAGCCACTATGCCATCACATTGCAAGCTATTTGCGATGCAAATTTAAAATTTACAGACGTGTTTGTGGGTTATCCTGGGTCTGTACACGATAATAGAATTTTCCGGAATTTCGAGATTTACATAGCAGTTCGCAACCATCTACAACAGTATTTCCCAGATGATGAGTATATTATTGGCGACAAGGCGTATCCATGCTTGTCATGGTGTATTCCGCCATATATTAATCGAGGCAATTTAACGCCGGCTAAACGACATTTTAATACCATCATGGCAAAAACCCGACAAACTATAGAAAGATCATTTGCTCTTCTCATGGGAAGATTCAGAAGATTGAAATTTTTGGACATGCAACGGACTGATCTAATACCAACAGCTGTTCTGGCGTCGTGCGTATTACACAACATCTGTTTAGAGCATAGAGATGTAGAAATTGATAACTACATTAGAGAAGGAATAGATGACATATACCACAATGATGAAAACGAAGGGCATGGTCATCAGGAAATTGAGGGAACACGCAAACGGGATGAATTATGTCGTCAGTTGTTTATATGAAAGTATTTATTTTGCATATTATTGTAAACAATTATATTCATTTAATAAAATAACATTAATAATTCTCTATAAGTACAAGAAACAAAACTATATTAAATGGACGTTCAATTATTTTATTTTCTTTATTTTTCACAGCATGAAAAATTACCATTACTGTAAAACTTAATGCACTACCTGAAAACAACAAATAATAATACAATGTAAACATCATATTTTCATACATTTTGTTTTTCAGTTTTTACGATATATATGTACACTGCTGTACATTAAAATTAAGAACAAGTCTTATGGATGATTTTGGTAAAAATTTAGTTGTGTGTATCATACATAATTTCAGTAACTGAGAAACAGAAACCTTCTTTCAAAAAATTATTTGACGTGTGACATTCTAACAATACTTTTATGGATTCCACATACAACCAATATACACTATACACTTTTTGGTATACTTAATTTTAATGAACAGCAGTGCACATTGGTAAGTTAACAAACCTTATTGTCAAGTTTCGCAATTAATGCATCCATTTTTTGTGAGAAAACATTTATGGCCCTGTCACGTGATTCAATATTGTCCTTGTGTCTCTTTTCACGATTCAATTCCCTCTGCTGACTCTCTTCTTTATAATCACTTAGAAATTGTGTAATAACATCTTTTTTTTTCTTAATTTGTAAAAGTTTCTTTTGCTTGGCGGGTCTCGGTTCACAGTCATCTGTCTCACTGCCTAGTACATCTTCATCACTTTGTTCAGATACTATAAATATTGCAATATTATTGTTTAAAAAAAATCTTACAAATTGATCAATGTCATACCTTTTGTGGTGCCCTTTATTGATGATGCAATGGCAGGTGGTGTTATAGAGTGTTTGTTTCGCAGTAGGGCATCCATCTCATCAAAATATTCAAATTTAAATACATCTTCACCTGTGCCTCGTGGTCCCATATTATCGCGTTTTTTAACGTACCGTTTTTTAAGATATTGCCATTTGTCACGGCATTGTTGTCCACTAAATGGGAAGCTATTATTGTTCATTTCTTGAGAAACCAAGTTCCAGACTTGATCATTCTTTAACGTGGTTGATTTAAACTCCTTGCTAAATTTGCTGCGGAGATCAATAAGTAGTACTGTTGCAGCTTTTGACCAGAGTTTTTCTCCTTTTGTATCCTTCGGCTGAATACTTGTGGCAAGGGCCGATGCGCTTGCTCGGGGCGACGGAGACTGAGACAATGATGAAGGTCCTGCAGGCTGGTAGTTAGGGAAAGTGTTCCCAAGAATATCCACAATTTCTGGTGTTAGACACACCAATGTGAGGCTTCCATCTGCAAAATGCGTACTTTACCATGTACTTATATAAGTAGAAACCTAACTTTAGCTCACATACATATTTAATGGAAGAATATTAGGGATATTAAGGTTGTTATCAGAATATTGAATGCATACAAAATTTCTGATATTTCTCAGATTCTAAATTTACGAATATGTACGTACCATTTACATTCTGCAAGCAAATTTTATTGTCACTGATTACAGGCTCGTCATTAACGACGAAAAAAGCATAACTGTCCATTTCCATGTTTACACAAGTTTAGAAAACAAACCACAAAACAGTTAGTGCTATAAATTGCTAATCTAACCTTAAACCATACCGGTGCCCGGTGACGGTGGAAAACTCGAACAACATTTAATACGCAAGCGTGGCTATTCTTACCGCACTCGAGAGCATGGCGATTTGGGAAGACCCAAGGTAATGTTTTGTTGTATTCTTGAACGCTCGGCAGTATTGTGCCGAGGTGATATATTACTTTTCCTGAACGATTTTAAGTAACCTAAGTGACCCGGTCACATTTTCTGAACGCACTCCTGAAGATATTGTGCCGTTGATGCCTGATCGTCAGTTCCGCATAAATTTTAGAATGTCACCAACTGTATTCGAAGATATGTTAAGAAAAATTAATATAGTTTTTATTGAAAACAATAACCGTCATGTGGGATATCCAAAAACTCTATTGGAAAAAGAAGTAACGGTAACAATATGGTGTTTAGGAAATCCAGAAAGTTTTAGGTATTAACCTTGATAAACTAAATTATTTATTGCTTTGTTACCTGTAACAGATCAGTCGCAGAGAGATTTGGAATCAGCAAATCTACATGTTCGAATGTTTTGTATCGTACATGCCACTTGCTATTGCAAGTTAATAAGACATTCAAAATAATTTCTTGGCCTACAAAAGCCAGGCAGCAAGAAATCAGTCGTCATTTAGGATGTGCTGGTTTTCCTGGAATAATTGGTTGTGTAGATGGAAGCCATATTGAAATTATTGCACCTAAAACATATCCCAATTCATATATAAACCGAAAAAGTTACCATTCGGTATTGTTACAAGGTGTTTGTGACCAGAAACTACTTTTCACAAATGTTTATACAGGTGAAGCCGGATCGATACATGATTATACGCTTTATAGATCTGATCTTTTTGCAAAAATAATTTCTGGAGAAGTAGCATTTTACGAAGATAGTCATTTAGTGGCCGACTTGGCATATAAACTAGCCTCAAATTTAACCTCTTAAGGTCCACTTATACTAGAATCTTATTTAAAAAATTCATTCCATGAAAAAAGTGGCCAGAGGCAGTTAGTAAACAAATTGTAGTTTTCAAAATATTTATTTTCTGCTTTAGAAAACAACAAAACAATATGTTCCTTTGCAGGAACACTGGTCATATAGACATAATTATGCAATCAAATATGAAATTCAGCGAAGCAGTTTCTAGTCTTAGTAATACATAGATGTACCTTACACTTTACACAATAGAAATAAGTTTTTAGTCCACACAATGGTCTCTTGCACCGTTGCCTTTCTTTGTTATAAGAAGGAAAGTGGGCCACCTTGTCTGTACGCACGTCAAACTGAGGTATAGGTTTTGTTGCTCCCCTTCTCTTTTTCTCTTCATAATTCTTTTCAGTACTTCCGCTTGGTCTTCCTCTTTTTCTTGTATTTTCATCCTTTCCCACTCGGCAAAGAGCTTCGGCTACTTCAGCACGAAATCCCAAAGAATCTAGAATATCTTTTTTGTCCATGTTACTCTTCTGCATATCAGTCTTGTATTTTAACCATGCGCTAACTAGAGCCAAGTCGATTAAATGAAAAAACAGTTTGAGATACCATTTTCGACTTCTTAGGCTTATCCTGTAGTAGGATATGAGTCCATCAAGAAGGTCAACCCCACCCATAAAGTTATTATATAGCTTTATCATATTGGGACGGGTCACCTCAACTCTTCTTTTGCCTTTTCTGTCAAAGCGTTCAACAATATCGACAGGCTGGCTTCCGCAAAATGTACTAAGGAGACAAACGCTCTTGTTGTCGAACCATTTCAGAGTATGAATATCAACACTGTTGACTGTTGTCTTATATTCCTCATAAGTGCCTCTACCTTTTTTTTTCAAAACGTTGTCGCTGCTGAATTGTAAACCAGGAAGTCTGTTGCATCTTACGGTCCCCAAACTATAAATCCCATCTTCTTGAAGAGAGGTAAGCAGCTTTACAGAGGTAAACCAATTGTCGAAGAAGAGTAAATAATTTTTGTGTTGTGGTATCACAGATGCCAAGCGTAGTACAATATTTCCACTAGCTCCTATATCCTCCTTTCCCGGTGTTGGCAATATTTTTCCTGTGTAAATTTCAAAATTGTGAACCAAACCACTGCTATCGCACAATACGAATATTTTGTAACCCCATTTGTTGGGTTTTTTGGGATTATACTGCTTTAGTGCAGATCTTCCTTTGTACGGCACTATTTGTTCATCTACGCAAAGCATCTGTGGTTTGACTTGATTTTTAAATTTTTCTGTCAATGCATCTATTATGGGTCTAAGCTTGAATAGCTTATCACGGTTTGGATCATTTCTATCCGTGGGAAGGTCATCGTTGTTGTTGAAATGTAAATTCTTTTTTATATCTTCCCATCTCTTTCTGGACATACAGTCAGCAACTTGGGCTACTCTGCAAGCTGACTTCCAGTAAAGTCTATGTCGCGGTAAATGGAAAATTGACATGTATATAACAGTTCCAATAAAAATTTCTAATTCAGAACGTGTTAGATTCAGGGGCTTGTTTACGTCATTTTGAATAGCATATAAATTGCTTTGTTCCACTATGAGATAAAGCAATTCGTTCGAAAAAAATTGCTGATAATAATGAATTGGGCGTCCAATTTCGGACTCCTCGGTTTCCTCCGCAACGAAAGGTGGCAATGGCAATTCTTCATCATTATTATTGAGTTTAGTCCACTTGTATGTGGGTTTTCCTCTTACATTCGTAGCTGTAGCCACATGATCTACAGGTTGATTATCTTCATCTGATTCGGAACTACTAATTGAATCGTCACTGTCAGAAGAAGAGGAATCCCTTGAATTTTGTACAACAAACTCATCATCTGAGTCTCCAAGATTATCGTCCTCACTATCGCTTGGTATGTAGGCCATTTTTACTGTAAAAACCCAACAATATTGCTATTAGTTCATATGTACCAAAAGTCCACTGTTCCATTTCAGGAACAATCTAATTTTCATCTAAATGACCAATGTTCCATATGAGGAACTAACAGAATTTTGGGCTCCTACAGACTAATTGTATATTTACAATAACTAGGAAGGTACAGGCATATCTTCTAAAGTCTAACAATAGCCTAAATAATTTTAGTTTGATCGGTACTTACCCAAAAATTAAAAAATTACGATCACAAATAACTCAACACCACACAACGTGCTCCGTCTGCAAAGGTATGACTGAACTTATTCTAGTTTCACTCTAGATGGCGTTTGCTGTTACTTATCAATGTTTATTCATTGGTATATATTAGGAACAACGGTCAGTTAAAGAACTGGCGGAATGATTGCTCTTTTCTAATTGTTTTTGGTCTGAGTTAGGTATGTTCCTGATTCGGAACACAGGACCTTAAGAGGTTAATGGTAGGATTTCAAAACTACGGGAATTTAACAGGACTGCAAAAAAACTTCAACACCATTCTTAGTAAAAATTGAAAATTGTTTCGCTTTGCTCAAGGGGCGATTTAGAAGATTGAAAAAATTATATATTGTGCGAATGGATTTGATAGCTTTGTTAATAATTGATGGTTGTATTTTGCACATCGTATGTATTCTAAATGGACGGAATTCTGGATTGGCAAGACGAACTTCGTCAAGAACGTGCGAATAATCCCCAGAACTATAGAGACATGGACATAGAAGAAGAAAATCGTTATGCACGCATAAAACGACAAAACATTTTGTAATGCTTTGCCTATACCAATAAATTAAATAAGTAAAGTCGTTTTTATGAAAAATACAAGTTGTATTTAACTGAAAAAAAATATATAAATATATAACAAGAACTATTTTATCAGACTTATTTAAAAGCCAGGTAACAAAAAATTAAATTCTCTTCTTAAAACTATCTGAACATATAATTGATCAAAAACATAAATTCTATTTGTACCAAAAAAAAAAAAGAAAAAAAAACAAATTATTATCAAGTTCCCCTACTCTGCAGTATTAGTCTTGTCTGGTATTTTTTTGACATATTGTTCAAAAATGTCAATGAATCGGTCCATTCTCTGCATCTTTTCTTTATGTCGCTTGGCTACATCGTTAACTTTTAATTTTCTTTTCTTTTAAAATGTGATTTCATATCGTGACGAACTGGGATCCATTTGTTCTTCTGTTTCAGCTGCCGGGCCTGCTGGCTCTGACTGTTCTGCTAGTTTTAACCCACTGTCGCTGCTGCACGTCGCAATTGGTTAAATCTCAGGTTTTTTGTACATGAAACTATATATTAAGTTGAAGTACTGCCAGGTCCGGCGTTGTTTTCCCGATGTTCTATTATTAATCACAATTGATCTATATGTCCTCAGTAGGCTTTTCCATTTTGACTCCAATTCAGTATACTTAAAGGTAGAGACCCTAGATATACTTTGGAAAAGAGTTGTGACACGGACATTTTCTGTCTCTATCTTTATTACATGACGGTCAGTTATGAAATAGCTATAGTGATTGCTGTCTTTATCTAATTTAGTGATATAGTTTCAAAAACTTCAAAAGAAATTTATAGGTTAAGTTACATTTTCAAGCAGTGGCGTAGTGCTCCAAATAGTTTCTTTGAAATTTTGTTAACAGTACTGACACTGACAGTACCTTATATTTAAGAAGTGTTATGCGGTTAAGTACTTCTTACAATTTGCACTCGGGATCGCTGGTAAAAGAGAAAAATACGGAATACCTAATCATACTGATTTACACTTTATAAGATTATATCACAATTTGCAGTTAAGTTTAAACACCATTCTGTACTTAGGTACTATCGTTGTTCCCAGCTAAGATCTGGAGAGTGTATCACATTGTCAGTATCTAATCGTTTTGCTTCTGGTCAAAACAACATGTTGGAATTTAACGAACGGCACCGTGGTAAGAAATTTGAAGCATGTTTAGTAGGTTCTCTATCTACTACTCTATGATAAACAGTGTGTTTACAACGTCCTCACATTTCCATCATGAATATTTGCTCTGATATGTAGAATAATCTCAGTAGAAATATATAGATTCATGTACCTCTATATTAAATAAAACTTACAAGTTAAAATTTGTTACATCTTTTAATTAAAATAACAATGAAAAAAAAAATACAAAAACAAGCATGGTCATCGAATTTCTGTAACTCGAAATAATTAAGAAATGTTCCACAAACAATTAATTAAATTGCCAAAGAATACATGAGGTTGGATTGAACATTTTTAGATAAAGGTGGAGCGTTAGCAGCAAAATCAACATTCCTACTTTTGTTATTTGGGTTAACAATTGAATTTTGGAACTGCGTTTTTGTACTTTTGATTTTAATTTCTTTTGCAATTCTAGATAATGTGTCTCCGTGTGTGGAATTCCCAGTAAAATGATAACATACGATTTACTTCCATCGTAAGCTTACACCTCCTAACATAAAAAACAAAACATAGGTAGCGACTTCATTTAAATTTGTTAATGTTGTTTCCCAAATTAATGAGGAACGTCGACAGTATTCTTTACCTGGATTGATTGCTGCTTCGCCTAAAAATAAACAATAATCTCTTTCCTATTCGTTAAAATTTTGAATTTTGATTGTTAAATAGGTAAAAATTTCATGTAAAATTCATTAAAATGTGCTGAATTTTACGGCATTGGGTTCCACTTTGAAGGTAACGGAAAATTTATATTCAAAAGATACAGTTATGTCAGTGAGTATAGATGTTAAATACATAGTCACTGGTTATGTCCTGATGTTCCACAGACAAATTTTTATTTTAATGGCTTCTTCTATTGTTTTATTGTTCCAGCGTTTTGGTAGTTTACATTTCACACTTCAATTTTGAATTTGCTTCTCGTTGAGAATCCCTTTTATAGTTCTGTTTTATGCATCGTCCTTATTTTTGTAATTTTTTACTTGCCCTTCTAAACTTGAAATGTTTGCTTTCAAAACATTAATTTCTTTTTCAGCACCCCGCGTTATTTTTTCTTGTAACTTTTTTTCATTTGCAGTTTTTTGATGAAGTTGTCTTTTTCGAAAACAGTCGGCTGAACTTCATCAATAACATTTTTTTTTTTTGCCAAGAACCGGTCATTTTGACGTAAATTCAGCCACATTATAAATTGTTGGAATTGCGTTCTCACATATTTTGCATTCACTTGAAATATAAAATTCTCTTTTTTGAAGTGAACCTGTTGACCAAGGATTAGATGGAAAATACAATTTCGGACAACAACCTCGCAAATGTAAGCCCTTTTGCCAATTTTTCAAGATGGATATTGAATCTGTTCTTTCCATTTGTTAAGTAATATCTTGTTTTCGGGACCTTTAAACAATGAGCATGGCCGACTAGTATAAAGATTATGGCCTGTCCAAAGGAATGCCAAAGGTACCATACGTGCTGCCATCTATTAATACTTCAAAATCGACAAAAGAATTATTAACACCTTTTAAAAGGCACAAAGGCATTCATACCCAAACAAACCACCATTACACGTTTTGAAGTCCCATAATGTCAAGTCAAATTAAAATTTTGCTAAATTATTAAGTGTAATTATTAATAGATGGCAACACGTATCGTACCTCTTGGACAGGCCATAATCTTTATACTAGTCGGCCATGCAATGAGAAACCATTTGCTTCTGTATTTCTACAGTTTCGTACACAACAGACGACGACTATTCTCTTCCACGTCTATAATATGTACTAAATGACAATTACAAAATGTCAAAACATGACTCAAAAAAGGCATCCGTAGCCAGCATAGTAAAATAAAATTTACCATTAATTTTGACGTTTCGTGTCACAACTCTTTTCCCAAGTATATCTAGGGTCTCTAACTTAAAGGGTTTCTTAAATTGTTTGCTACAGTCGTCGGCATTTCGATTTAACCACTCCCTAGTGTAAGTTTTCAAAATTTCGCTGGTGTAAACGGCTTTCCGTACCTTTTTAGAGAGAAAATGGCCGACGATTAATGACATTAGTTACTTTTTTTTTACATTTGTTTGATCGCCGTCTTACAAGGTTCTGTGCTTACAAGGCGACGGCTTATTAATTAAGGGGCTCTTTTATGTGGTTTAGAGCTTAGGGTACGAATTTTCAGTGCACATACACCGCCATTATCAAACTGTGGAATCGAAAGTGCAGAATAAATCTGCACTGCCACAATTGATGGTATAAGCAGTTAACAGTTTACCATCTCGTTAACAAAAGGTGGACATCAATAAAATGGGCAATTACGACTCAAAGGTATAGTGAAAATTGGAACTTTTATTTGTATTTTTACCTACAAGGATGGTGCACGAAGAATGACCACATGACTGGCAGTTTGTATTAATATTTCCATCAGTCTTATTTGTGCTGCCATGGACGATACTGACTTATGGCTTGGTTCTTCTGAATCACAGAACTCTGGCGCTTGTACTAATAATGCGTCATTAGAAGATTTACACATTTTAATGAAATGTTACCAGAACTGTTGAGTATTTTGAGCCCACTGTATACAAATAAATATGAGAAAATTGTAGGTTATAATTTATAAGAAACTACATGAAGTATTTAAAGAGATAAAGCGTGAAGCAAAAGGAAGTGATGTAAAGAAGCAGATCAATTCACTAAGGTTGAATCACAGGAGGGAATTAAATAAAATGAAATGTTCTAAATGTGATAGAAAGACAATTCTCAATGAACATAATTTATAGGAACGTAAACAGTAGTCTCAACTGTTACAAATCAGTGTATTGTCAAAAACTTTAACAATGGAATAAAACAGGATTAACTAACTAACTCATTAATACAATAATTGTTAAAAGGTGTGACATTTATTTACTTAGCAAGGTAAATTAATCATCTATTACCTCTACAATAATTGTTTCTATATCATTCTCTGCATTCATCCATTCACACATCTCAACATCATCTACACAAAGCTGCTGGCCTTCTCTAATATTGCCTTGTGTTTCATTCATACTGGTTTCAGGATCCATACTTACATTTAATGTTCTGTTGGCTAATACATCATCCTGCATAATATCACTTATACTGTCTGATTCATCTGAACTTAAATCAGATTCACTATCAGATTCTCCAAGTGATATTATGACAGGAGGAATATCTTTAACACTGGTATTACCCATCATTCTTTGCCAATCATCCTTGATAATATTTTCACAGTGGATTACACTTGATGTCCACATCTCTGGTGTATATTTAGACATAGCTTCAATCCACAAGTGCTTGATTTCCGATTTTTTGGAAGACTGCTTCAAGATGTGTTTGTTATAATATGGTTTACAGAATCGCCATACTATTTCTATAGCATTATAGTGGCAGTGATATGGAGGTAAACGTAAAACTTCAATATTACTCTTTGACAACAATTCATCAATCTCATATTTACGAGTTGATGGTAAAAGAGGTTTGATAATATCCCAAAGCTGTTTTTTTGTCAAATTATCGCCAAAAGGAATTTTTTTTTGTGCAAGCCAAAATTTTAATTTTGATTTAATCCAAGACAAACGAGGCAATTGTTCTGCTAACACCGAATGATAAGGTGCATTGTCCATGATGATAACAACCTTACCGTTAATAAAATTAACAGATGGAATTAACTGTGTTTCCACCCATTGCCTGAACAATTGCCCGTTCATAGTCTTATGATAGTCCCTGCTATCATTATTGCTATCTAAAAATAGCAAGCAGTTTTCCAAAAAACCAAATTTACCCCCTGCATGAAGTATGGTAAACCTTCGACCCTCATTCATTACTATTTTCGCAGGCATGCCTCTCCGATCACTCTCATGCACCCATCTTCTTACTGGTACACCATGCTGATACACCCACGTCTCGTCTAAATAAACAAATGTCACATCTTCTTCCATTAACTGTATGTAACGCCTTAAAAATTTAATTTTTAATCCCTGTAAGCGGGGCGACTCAATTATAATTTTCCTGTTTTCAACTTTTTTAAAATTGTAACCCATGGATTTAATAACCCTTCGTAGAGTCCGGATACTTGCGTTGTAATTAAGATTTTCTGTGGCAAAATTAAATAAATCCTGAATTGTAAAAAACTCATTCTGACGATTTTTTTCAAATATGTGAAAGTTTAGGTCTTCTTTGAATTCAAAATCCGTAAACCATTTTGACTTCTTTCGTGGGGAAGGTCTAGGATCTTCGGGAAGTTGTCCGGATTTGTGTTGGAGTAAAAGCGTTCTTATTTGACTTCTTGAACACTGCAGGAAAATGAGCTGGTTAATGATAGGATAAAAGGATGTTACTGAGTCACTGGTTGGTGTGAAAAATGGACAACGTGAACTGTGTGGTGGACAAGTAACGTTGGAAATGTTATAGTTACTACCAAGATTTCGTACTGAAAAAATATTCGCCAGTCGTAACTCGTGTTCACGCTGGGAAGACGAAGGATATGCCCGTTGAAACTCTTCGTAACATTTTACAATAGCAGCTTTTATTTGTTTTTTGAACAAAGTTCGCGTTCTTGGCTTCATAATAATTATTTTCAAATTGAAACGCTCTCTTTTTGAATTTGAAGCACGCTGCGCTAGTTCGAAGTTGTTTGAGTCGTTTACGAGTCGTTTGACGTTATTGTCAGTTACAAACGTCAAAGCGCTGCCAATCCGAGGGGTTTAAAATTACCATGGCAATAATACCAACCTGACGTTTTAACAAGTGGTTTTATCCATTTGCCGACGACTATACATGTTGTGGCTATCTTCATCCATACACTCTTTTTAACTGAAGTTTCAAATTTTCTTTGGTTTTCTTCATATTGCTTTATTAAAAATCGTACATTGTTTGAAGTCCACAATCGGTCAGAGGCAGATGTCTGTTCCCCTTCATCGTCATCACCGAGGATTTCGCTATCTTCATCCTCATTATCAACATTATTCGCATCATTTTCTTCACTTGAATTAGGACCTGCATTACAATCCACACTATTAGGCAGATATTCTTTCGTACTTGTAGCAGGACTTTCACTGCAATCAGCTTCTATAACTCTAATATTAAATATTGCTTGAACATCTTGAGAGAGTTCAACATACAAAAGATCGCCTGCTATAAAAACAAGTACATTAATTTATAATCAGCATACAATTTATCACCTTTATTACTTACTTTTTTTATTTTGTGTCAGTAATCTATGTATTATTACTGATGATAAAAGAGTTATTACCATCTTTAACCGCCACATAGTCATTTTTCAGTTCCACTACCGTGATTCCCATATTTCTTAACAAATTTAATAATAATTATAAAATCGCAAATGTGGAAATTGAGCGGGCTTTAAACCATGAACATAACCTCACATCTGTCATTTCACCTTGACAGTTTAAATATGCGCATGCCGACTCTACCAGCTCACATTCGAGAGCTTGTGCATGAGGAGTGAGTTCTGTTCACACCGCTCTCAAACAGTCGAACGGTGGTAGCGTCAACTCTCAACGCACCAAGTGCCGCACACGAACGATTTTTGGGGCGTTTCGCGTTAAAAGTGAAAAAAGAACAAGCGAGCCGAACGTACCTAATGTATATTCCTTTGGGGGGGGGGCAGTTTTTTTCAAAGGCTTTGATTGTTTTGTCGAATTTTTTCGCATCTTCTTTAGAGAGCTTCAACGTGTTATACACCTCTAGCCCTCGCGATCCAATGGTATGCAGCAACTTGGCTATTTTAATGTTGTCCGGTTTTGTGCCCCACTCGTTGGCTGTCAAGTATATCAAAAACCTTTGTTTAAACTTTGCAAAGTTTTCGTTGAGATCACCCTCAAACCCCATTTGTTCGGGAAGCCTACCATCCATGTTATTGCCCTACGACGGCGCCATGTAATATACACCATGCATTAATATTAATGTTTTATTTTTAACACGATACCAAAGATATTTAATATACATAACCTATATCTTCGTACTGTTTTCGGGACCTGCCAGTGCTGTTACTGCCAACCTCTGTCTCTCTATATCATTAATTAAAACCCAGTCTTGATAGGTAAATGCAGGTACGTCAGCATGCTCAAGTTCATTTAAGGCTTGCAACAGAGCAGGCTTTAACTATAAATTACTTAACATGATTAGAGTGGAATTCCGCCTAGTAACAATCCGTTTTCTTTTATAGATTTTAGTTTCATATTCATTAAGTTTTGCTGATCTACAAGGATGGATGTTGCCAGACAGCTGGCTTTAAAAATGTGAGCTGTGTGGTCACATTTTTTTAAAGTTGCGACTATCTCAGGCGTTTTTTGTAATGAATCTTGATCCACTACCAGGTTTAGGGTATGCCCAGAACAGGACAAATTTGTCCATCCTAATAGTGAAATGGCACTCACGATATTACTTCCATTATCTGTTGTTGCCACTTTGACTTTTTCATTATTGTTCCACAATACCATTGTCTCATATAGATCATTTTTTATGTTGACACCTGTATGTCTTTCTTCAAATTGAGTCGTCTTCAGCGTGTGATAATACAAATTGTCATCGAAAATATAGTGAACAGTAACAGTAATGTAGGAAAATTGTTTATTTGTATCTGTCCACATGTCTGAGGTTATGTGAACAGTTGAGGTTTTTGCAAGCTTATCTTTAATTTCTTGTTTCATGTTTTCATACAAAGTAGGTATCATTTTCACTAAATTGTCTGTAATGCTTTTAGATTTAGCACTATTATATTAGTTGGATAAAATATCTTTACTACAAATGAATCCAAAGACATCGACATTTTTGCTTTGTTTTCTTCCATTTTCATTCAGCAATTCTCCAGACTTGAAAAAAATCCTTTCATACGGTACTGATCCAGCTGGTTTTCCAAAATATTGTTTTGGTAATATTCGATGTTCTTCAAATTTCTTCCCTTCTTCTTTCCAAAATTCTAGAGGATTACTTTTTCTATTTATTGTTGGAAGCTCTTCATATCTCTTCAGAGAAATTAAGAAATTGGTTTCTTTTTGGTTTACATTTGTAGGAATGCTTCATCATTTTTATCCTCCACTTTCTCATATTTGGTGCCTGTGGCTTCTACTTCCCCTGTACTTACTTTACTTGTTTCTTTTATTATTATATCATTTTTTAATTTTTGTAAAAACTCCTTGCTCGATTCAAATATATGATGTTTAAACCGTGATGCGTACGTTATAAAAGTTTGATATGAACCAAACCTATATTCCACTTACTTGATAAACATATTCCTTACTTCATTCACGTCACTATTGAGGTCAATTAATTCTCTTAACTCAGTCAAAAAATGTGTCCAATAAATACTTCTCTTTCTTTCGTTAGTGGAAGATGAAGTCCTAAAATAATGTTTATGTTGATTATATAGATAGATACGTATGTAATATCTGATAACAATTAACTATACTTGTAACGGTCTCAATAAATCCCCGGGGCGCCCACTAGAATAGCACTCCGATCGCCACCCCCGAACAGACTCAAGCTTTATCATATCCCCCCTAAGCTTTACCGGCGCACAGGAATGCTCAGTGCAAACCCACCCCAATAAAGGGAGCTGCATCAAAGTTTTTCCCCAGAGTTGGATTCCCACTCTCAGCTAAAAAACACTAGGCCATTGCAGCGAGCTGGATACCCACTCCTAGGTCTTGTGTTTGTTTCTGCGATTTGAAACTCGAAGTCTTAGCCCACTTACTTCCCGCCGGGTTGATCCGCGGACTCACTTCTCCTACAGAGAGGGGTAAGTGGCTGGACTGTTGCGAGTACGGAGTCTACGTGTACGAGTACGGAGTTTACATGTGCAAGTACCGAAGTATAGTTTCGCGACGGACTTTCCTTGTGTTACGGTCCCGCTACGGACTCTCACCTGTGCGCGACAGACTTTTACCTGTACGCGACGGACTTTACCTGGGCTGTTAAATTAAGTGTCTCTGTCTGGACTGCATATATTCTTATACTAATAGGCTTATTATACCACCACCTGTATATACATTAATAATAATAAACATTTGTTACAACCGTTACAAGTGTCGCCCAACGTTAAGCCCGAAGCTACGACCGCGATCCGCGAAGTGAACCTGGCATATAGTATCAAAAAAGCCACTAGTGACCACCTCCATACAAACAAGAAGTATGGCCATTACAGCAGACCAGCTACAACAGATAATTGAGAGACTGAAGCCAGCAGAGACAATTAAGCATTTTACTCACGGTCCGGCACGTTTCGCTGGTACACGCATTAAGGAGGCGGTAGAGGATTTTTTGGCAACCGCCGACTTCTACAAAATTAGTGAAAAGATCACGGACGAAAATGCACTCCTTGGACTTCCATTGCTCCTCCAAGGTACGGCCTATACCTGGTGGACAGGAGTAAAAGCAGGCATAAATACCTGGGATGATGTGCTGCGACAAGAATTCGCGCCCACCCCGCCGGCGTATCAAATTTATTTAGATGTCTTTGCCACGAAGCAAGACCAGAGGACTTCCACGGGGCTGTTTGTTAGCCAAAAACGGGCCCTGCTCGCACAAGTGGAGCCCGCCGACACCGAGAGTCGCCAACTAGACATGGTGTATGGACTCCTAAAGTGGGACATACGGAGTAGGGTTCCACGGGAAATGGTGCACAACTTCGCACAGCTCCTCGTCGCAGCCAACAAAGTCGAGATGCAGGCACAAAGCCGGAACATTGAACGAGGTGCCGTCCCAACCACAACGCCGGCACCACCTCGCAACGATAAACGCGCTCATTGTGAATTCTGCAGACACCTCGGCCACGAAACTTCCGCTTGCAGGAAAAAGCAGAGGCACCTTTCTGCAAAGGCACCATCCCAAAATAACCCGAAAACGTGTTATGGGTGTGGTAAACCGGGCGTTTTTCGTAGAAATTGCCCGGAATGCAACGAAGAAAACATCAACGCTTCCACACTCAACGTCCAGTTCTGCGCTCTGGAGGCCCGCAAATTCGAACGACCCGCCGTACAGATAAACATTGACGGGATGTCGGGAACGGCATTCCTGGACAGCGGAGCAAGGACCAGCCTTGCCAATTGTATGGTCTTCTTAAGAAAAAGGGCCACAACTTCGAAGACGCTATGGTCCGGTTGACCCAAGCGGACGGGAATAGCCGCATAAAAACCTGCACGTTGCCGATCACACTTAAAAGACGCACGACAGCGACCCAGTTTATTGTTATCCCAGAAGCAGTGAATTCAAAAACCCTCATTGGGGGCGATTTCGTACAGAAATCAAGAATGGTCATCGATTATGGGAGCCAAAGGTGGCATTATGCAGGAAATCGTCACGAGTGTTACGGGTTTATCTCGAAGGAGGAATCACCAGGTCGTGTGGAGATCGCTTTCCACGAGTTAAAAGCACCCCCACCCAACGCCAACATATTAAAGGAGACGTTCATAGGGAGTCGCTCTCAAGAAGTCGCCAGCCCCATGGATGCGTCCGAAACCGTGGAAATCACCAACATCATCTCCGACTTGACCGGGGGATATGGGCCGATTTTAACACCGCTACCAGCCACGCCTGTTACCGCCAGACCACGGACCCCGCCGCATTATCATTTCGGTATCGAGACTTCGCGATCGGCTTATATGATGAGCGACGCCGCCTTCGCCGTCGAGCAAGAATGGAGTAACGCTTTAACACCAGATGACTTCCAACTCTTTCCCGAAATACGGATGGCCACCCGTGACGTACATGACGTTATCTTACGGACTGAAGACGAAGCCGTTAATAACTACATCTTATAGTTTGTGCACTTTGCGAGATATAGGTTTGGTGTATGTACAATGGTGTTTGTACAGAATCGTTGTCTGTTCTTGTGCTTCCAACGTTACTTAGTACTGGCAGCAATAATTTAGAAAGAATTATTTGGGAAATTGTTCTTCTGTGATCTTGATTTCCACATGTGAAGAAGTTTGAGGCACTTAGATGGTCCAGCAGGAGTTCATATAAAATTTTTGACGGATTACACGACATCGGCAAGTATTGAATGATGTCCACAACTAATTCGTATATATGTGATATTAAGCATGCAAATTCTTTTGTAGGGTACCTTAAACCTCCCCGATCTTGATTTTGAATTAGTCCAAGTAAAGGATTGGTAATGTCTGACGTTGACAACGGGCCCAAACAAGTTGCACAAGAAACCCTCTCTTGAATCGTAAGTACTATATAAGCAGCAATAAACGCCTGTGAAGCAGACTTTATGTTTTGTTTCAGATTATACCGAACGGTTTTTATCAACTGTATCTTATTTAGTACATGTTCTGGAAACTGTATATTATTTGTCTTTTTGAACTTGTTCCTTTGCAATTTTAGATTGCTCAACATTGCTGATGTATGTACAGTCTGCTGAAACATTGGCATCTCTGGCATCAGTTGCATCTTGAGAACCTCCTCGCATTCGGATCTGACTGAATGTGGACTTAATAGCATCAGAACTAAATGCTCTTGTGAGCACAAAATAAAAATGGATATTACGCAAATATTACTTTTTATAATTTAATTTTGCTTATATACTTTTATTGCCATTTCATCAATTAAAATACTGCACACTTTAGCAGCGGGTGTTAAAACCTGAGCTTCCGCTAAAAGTCTATTTTTAATTACCGAAGTCCAAAACTTGATAGGATCTTCTGTTCTTGAACTTAAGGTTTGGTTTAAATAGTTTTTTAATTCAGAAGGTATACCTGAATTGTTACAAACTCCTTCATTTTGTTTAATGGATAATTTGTCATGAACCGCCCATAAATTTAATCCAGTACTGGTCATGTCAGTAAGTTTTTCTTGGTTTTTGTCATAATTTCGTGGTGACACTGACACTGAGTCATTTTTTTTGTGTTCATCAATTAAAACTTTTATTCTTGCAACTGCTGCTGTATCTGCTAATGGATTTTCAAAGTGTATGCGTTTAAATCTTGGGTCGAGTATACTAGAAACTGACAGCAAATTATTTTTTTCCACGCTGGAATTATCCGAATAAAACCTCGCTACCTCCTCTTTTAACTTATTCAAAATTTGTTTGACAACGTTAGTGCTAACTTCTACTTTATCTAAAGTAAGCTTTAGACAGTGTACTATTGGTATAACCTTACTTGAAGTGACATAATTTTGTCCTGACATTTCGACAGTCATGGCTTCAAAGGGAGCTAAAACCAATATCAACTCTTTCAAAATTGCAATGTTTTCTTGATCAATCATTTTAATATTTTGATTGTCAAAAAGGATAATGCTAATCAATGGTGCAAGCTCCAAAAATCGTTTCAACATGTAGTATGTCGAATTCCACCTAGTACTTATATCTTGAATAAGTTTCAGACAAGAACCTTCTGTTTTCCCATTCTGTATTTGATATGTTCGAAGTTTTTGGGCCGCATCATGACTTGTTTTAAAAAACGTAACAATAGCCTTCACTGAAGAAATAATATTATTGACATCTTTCAAACTGTTGGTAACAATTAAATTGGTAGTATGCACAAAACATGGTAAATGTTTCTTACTACCAAAAAATTCATGCACAGCTTTCACCATATTTCCTGCATTGTCTGTAATAACTGCTGTTATTTTATCTTTAGAAATATTCCATTCGTGACAACAATGTAGTAAAGCAGTTCCAATATAATCGTATGTATGCTTGTTTTCTAATAAAAATACTCCTATTGTAATTGATTTTAGTTCTGTTTCTTGAAGATAATGAACAGTTAGTCCCAAAAAACTTCGATTATTCAAACTATCAGTCCATGCGTCAGTTGTTAGACAAAAATTATCCACCAACTTGAATTTGTCTTTAATTTTGGAACTTAAAACTGTATATTTTTCATCAACTTGTCTTGTAATTGTAGAACGCCCTGGAGCCTTATATAGTGGTAAAGCGACCTTTTTGAAATATTGAAATCCTTTACGTTCTGTGAAAGATAAAGGAAGGTGATCAACTGTGATCATATAAATCAAAGCATTGGTTATTTTAGCATTCATTCTTCCACCTAGCAAAAAGCATTTCATACAAAAAAATATTTTTCAGTAATTGGAACTTACCTGAAAATGAATTTATTTCATCGAAAGCTGATACTATGTCATTTTGTTTGAACTTAAGGGTAGATTTTTCGAAACTGGGCAATGCATCTATTTCACTAAGATCAGTAAGATCACAGAGAGTTACTGTTGTTGCTTCTGATAAATTTGTCTCTAAAAGTTTAATGGAATATGTAATTAGGTATTTCTCTGCATTAACCAACTTACCGCTCTTTTCGACATCATTGTGTAGTGATGATGTAGAAACATCATTCTGTAGTGACGATGTAGTAGTCTGGGTCTGATCTTGATCCTCTTTTGAACCTTTGTTATTTATCACTTTTAGACGTTTTTGACTCTTGTTTTGTGCCAATCCCATATTTAAAAATTCTGAATGTTTACGTTTCAGGTGGTTTCGTAAATTTGTAGTATTGTTATGATGCTTGTAAACATTGCTACATATTTTGCACCTTGATGAAATTGCAGTAAATTTCGTGAAATAGCATTTTACGTCAATGTGCGACTCTGACATTTCTAATCTAAAAGTAAACAAAATGCCGAACAACTTTTATAACCAAATTACAAACCTACTGTTAATGGTCAAAAGTGTTAATCTTGTTTTCCAAATCCAAAGCACAATATTCACCACATATTTACATTAACGTAGAACCAGTATTCTAAATCACTTCTAAACTATGATGTATAATCACCGGATTACCCTACCGCCCTACATGCAGAATGCAGATGACTGTTGACTACATGTACATGTACATCGCAATTCTTCGGTTTTTACTTTTTTGTCCTATTCACACCACGACTTAAACAAAGATGTGCTTTGCACTACAAATACATCAAACAAAGACAACGAACTCCCACTAGAAATAAAGATAAGTAGAAAATGCTAGAAACTATTTGGCGCGTACATTGGCACATTTTGCCATTCTCACCTTTATGTACATCGAAATTAGGGGTGGTAATTCGATCAAATCAAACGTTTTAACGTTAACGTTCAAGTTCAGAAAAATGTTCGTAATCGCAGTAGATACCAACCGTTAATTCTAAAATTGCAAAAGTTACTAAGATGATTGTTTGAGCTGTGGTTTGAGTAAAAAAATGATTTCTTTCCACAATTTAAAAAAGCATCGATTTTCACTCAAAAAAAATCGATCCCCAGAGAATCGTGCAGATCAAATAATCGATTCATAATCGATCATTTTGTTAAAAATATAATCGAATATCGAAGAATCGAATCGAGAATGGGCATCACTAGTGTCAGTACTGTCAGTACACATTTATGCATTGTGGTGCACGTGTTTTGTTGTGATGATATTTATTCCGTAAAAACAAATGAAACGCTCGCCAAAACGACCCGAATTATCTTCGGATCATTCTAGAGGTCGTCTGCAAAGTTGATTATACGACAGCCATGGTAGAGGTAGGATTTTCTTCTCATTTATGTGATTTTACGGAGAGTTCGGCGTTACGTGCAAGTAGTATTCAACTTGCACTTGCACACATCGGCCAAATGTTTATGGAACATTAGGGGCAATTCTGAATCAAACTGGTAAATCTGATTGGCTCTTTCTTTCTAACAACCTTTAAATTTTAACAGGTTTGATTCAGAATTGCCCGTATTCACTGTTGTTGTTATGATGTTCTGAATTTACGATGATTTAGTTAGGGTAGAAATTATTCGAATTTCACTTGATCAGTGGCGTGGCGTATTGTTAAATGCATCAATTTAAACCAATGCATTTTCTGAAATTTATAAACAACCATTTATTACTTCACCATCTTCTGCTTTGGTAGTCGAATCTGCTGATCTTGGCCTATAATCTTGGCCAAACGTTAATAATATCCAAAGCAACAAAAAAGAGTAACTATAGACTCGATCTGTGTCAAATACGTTGCGTATGTTTATGCTGTTCTCAAATGGTTTTACCACGGAAGTGAGTTTAAAAGTGAGTGGGCATTTATGTAAATTTCGTGATGAAATTTATTTTTCACTCGTATATAATGTTTGTTTTATATCCATGATTTGATAAACGTAAAGCGGCATCTTATATCCGGGGCACAATGAGCGGGCATAAAAAGTTATTACGCCCTCTCATTATGCCCTATTTTGCTAAACCAAATTAAACAAAAATTAAAAAAAAATATTGTTTATTTTTAACTACTTATTTATTTTTTGACAATTTATTTAATAACGAAGATACAAATTACAATTTACAAACTTGCTATTCATACCAAACTATTCAGGTAAACTTAAACTTTTCGGAGGTGCCTCTTGGAATTATTTCTGCCACTGCTTCCATTCTGCTCGCACCGAATAACGTATTATATAAACATCTAGAATTGTGTTCACTCATCCTCCAACTACCTTTACAGCATAAAACATTAGTATTTAAATTAATTACAATCATCAAAAAATAACTTAGTTTACCTTCTGAAGTAGATGTGTTGTCGGAAGCATCTTTTAGAAATTGTATGACTTGTTTGCCAGTCAAAACTCGGGATTTTTTTGCCACATAACCTTTTGGGTTTTTTTATAGAAATATGTCAAACGATGATAATTAGAAATGTCTATGTTGTCATTTACTCTTAAAGTTGTCTTGACCATCGAGTATTTTCACCATAAGGAACTGGGTGAATATTTTTCTGACTAAAAATGAAGAACACAGTTAAATAATTATTTTATAAACAGAATAACTCACCAATTCTTGGAAGTAAGCCACTTCTTAATTTTCCAATTAAGGAAAATTTTGTATTCTTTTTCATATATGGATCCTGATGTTCCAGGTAACACATTTTCATTGGCTTTTTGCGCTTTCTTCACAATGTTTTCTGGAATTTCACAATTTTCCTCATTCATTTTCGCGGTCGAAAATATACGTGTTGACACCGTGAATAGACGCCGTGTTTGCAATAAACATAGAATCGCCTTGACAACAAAATCAACGCCACGTAATTTTTTTTTTACGAGTTAATTATATAAATTAGTCTTTTTTTTTAGATTTTCTCGTGAAAAATAAAAGTTTGTATGCACCACGGGCACGACTTGATGTTTATAAATCTCGGGCCAGAGGCCCTCGATTTTGTAAACGTTGCCCTCGAACATAAACATCTTCTTTGTGCCCTTGGTACATAAATAACTATTATGTTTGACTCAATCATAACAATGTCATTTACAGTGTTGGGGACAGATACTTTTAAAAATATCTAGATACAGATATAGATATATGGAAGATAAAAGTATCTAGATACAGATTGTTTTCGATTTTTTCGAAATGTATCTAGATAACAGATACAAGAAAACAGATACTTTTTGAAGCTTTGGCGAATAAAATAACTGAAAACATGTTATTAAAAAAAATTACCTACAATTTATTAACTTAGATGTTTGTATTCGACATTACCATTAACATACCTTGTTTGACAAATGTTCCTTGTCATCAGCTTGTGTTAGAAAGGCGTCCACATGTTCTTTAGTCAGAGTGGAGGATTTTTTTGGCTTATGACCTTCTCCTTTTCTTTTAAGATAAAGAATGAGACCATAAAATCGATTAATATCTATACCCTCTTGCAAATTTATTGTGGATCGAAGCGTAGAGTACTTCGTCCACAGGGACGACTTTTGAAGGATACTAGTTCACTATTAAAATATGCCAACAGGCAATCTTCGGTGGTTTTAATAATCTTGTTCGTTGTAGACCAGAGCCGGTATGTCTTGTACGCATTTTCATACAAAATTTTAGATTTCTTCGGCAGCAGTTCTTCTCTTGCTTTTGAAGCAATATTCTGAATCTCGTCAGGAGCTTCCAGTAGTTCTATTGAACTCATTTCTTAGTCCAGATTCAACAAATTTATACAGCTAATTTTCAAAAACGCAAAAGAAAAATGATACAAGCTCACTCACTGCTCAATCCTAACTTACAGTAATTAGCCCAAACTGTTGGCGAGGAAATAGTTCTTGTCTGTGGAGTTTCAAAAAGTATTTATTTATATAAACTTTCTTCGAGACAACTCCTTCTTTGTAAATGATGGTCGAAATCAAGATTTACTATAATTTCTTAGTACAATTTCAACTTACGACCGCGTACCGATTACTGTCCCGATAAAAATGTACCAGTACGTACAATATATAACATTATTTATCTTGAACAAAGTATAAAGTTTTAATAGCGTACAATGTTCGACAGGTATGGTATCCAACTATGTAATTATATGTTTACAAGAACTGAGATAATAAAATATTAATAAGGTAAGCTCGGGTAAGCGTGACCGCATTTTTCAATAGTTGGTTTTGTTTAGACGTTTTTCGTTACCTAAAGATATATTTTTCAGTCATAAGTCTGTTTACATTAGGTCTCAACATAAGGATTTTGTATCGTAGTTCTTTCAAAATGATTCCAGACATGACAAAAAAGCTATTAAATATTTTTTAAAACAATGTCTGTGTTTCACACTTTCTCAACCAAGAGGCGCAAGTGTGACAATGGCTTATAGTTGCACCAAATCGTACTTCCATTTAGACTGAAAGGGGCAAGTGTGAAAATTTAGAAAAAAAATTATTACTCAGTTTGATAGCTTTATTAAGAAAAATGTTACAAACTTTTAGAAATTATAAATGTATACCAGCAAAATCAACTTGAAACTGTAAATGATCTCTTCGGCCTGTAACTGGTTTAGGCAAAACTCTGATAATGTCTTCTTCAGCCACAGTGTCTGTATCTTCTATTAACTTGCCATGATTCATCTTTTTATTTTTAATCTGTCCAACAAAATGCTTAATACTTTTTTTGGAAGCATATTTTACTATAACCCAGGTTCCTATAGTTATTTGGAGTGACTCTTGTTTTTCTTCTTCTTCGTCAAATACCTCAGGGTCTATATCATCGTCTGTATCCTCGAATACTGGATCTCCCATGGCTTCTTCAAAATCCGAGTCACTAAAACTATATTTTCTTTTTACTTGTTATAGTTTGTTAGTCTTCATCTTAGGTTTATTTTTATTAATCTTATTCCCTTTTTCCTTTTCTTCTCGTTCTTTTGCAAGTTTCTCCAATACACTGACTGAATTCTCAAGATTTAGTGACAATAATCACACAGATAATTTTTGTTGGAGCCAGATTCGGCTCCCGAGCAGGTTTCATGCACCCACTTCTTACAGCCACTTCTAGTCTTGTTTCTTGGCAGAGGAAACAATACCAATCTTCAACGTTTGCTTCCACTACGATAACACCTGTTTCCTTATTTTGGGATTTCTTCTTTCCTAAACCAGAGAGACCTGGTTGAGGTTCACTCAGTTCGCTAATAAACTTGTTCGTTTTTTTTCCTTTCTTTTTTTGTTCTAACTGTTCCTTATATGGCGTTGCAGTTAGCACTACAGATTTTTGTGCTGTTCTTTTTCTTTGCTTAATAATTCTGGGAGCAGGAGAAATTTCTTGGGGTGTGTAGTAATGTGCATCTTCGGTCTCATCATCAAAAGTCCCCTTGGCAATAGGATCTTTGTCAGTCTCTTCCATTTCAGTCTCATTTAAATTGCTAGAATGAGTCTTGTTCCCGGGATCCGAG